TATATATATATATATATATATATATATATATATATATATATTATTTGTTGTGATTATTCTCTTTTTTTTTCGTTAGTTCAAGTTCAAACTGATTGTGATGTTTTTCTTTTTATAATAAACTATATCGGAGTTTTTTTGTGGTGTTTTTTTTTTTTGTAAGAAACAACGTTGATTTTTTTTTTGTTTTTGTTTTTTTACCTTAAAAACATTGTATGTGAATGTCGGAGTTTTTGCACCTTAAAATACATTGTATTTTTAATTTATTATGGGTAAAACTTGATGGTCAAATTAAGAATTGTATAAGAAAATGGATATTAAAAAAGAACAGAAATAAAAAAGATAAAAAAAAATTGTTATTTAAAAAAAGTAAGAAAAGGCAAAAAAAAAAAAAAAAAAAAAAAAAACCCTAAAATAAAAGCTGTTATTAAAAATATATATATATATATATATATATATATATATATATATATATATATATATTATATATATATATATATATATATATATATATATAACAGTAAAAAGATTGAATAAAAGAGAAAAATAAAGATAAAAAATGAAAACAGAAAAGTAAAGAAAAAAAAACCATTTTGATAAATATTTTTGAAAGAAGTAAATATTTTTTTTCAACCACCTTTTTATAATCAATAACTTTCCCTGACAAGGACTTTTCTTGTAGTGAAGATCATTGTTTAAATCATGTCACCACAAAAATTTTGTTAGTATTCTGCGGCCTCTAACATGGGCAGTGGCAGAGGCAATGTAGGAGTGGGGTGTGTGGACCCCACTTAATTTATATTTTTCAATATTAATTTTTTTTAATAAAGGTGACCCCCCTTTGACTTTAGATGGCACCCGATGCTTCCCTTAAATACCTAAACCTGTTTCCTTATCAGTTTTTAATGGATCTTCTTCTTTCTTTTTAACCTAGCCACACACACAGTCCACCAAATCAGATTCCGACTCTGCCGGAAATCAGAAAGGATATTGTCGCCAGAGTCAGATGCCGACTGTCTGAGTGCGCTTCCGACCTCTGACCTCTACTTCCCTTGTTCTCTCTCTTTCTCTCTCTCTCTCTCTCTCTCTCTCTCTCTCTCTAGCTCGGTAAATCCCTATCTTTAAATATACTTTGATTTTATTAGAGGAAATTGATTTTTGTTGGTTTAAAAGCTTCTATGTTGTTTTGTGGAATTGTTACTCTTATTTTGTTTTTATTGAAATCAGTTAATATTTGGTTGTATTGTGAATTTTTGGATTTTTGTGGGTAAATTCAAATAATGTCGGCAGTGAGTGTAATTGGAAATTTTTAATTTTTGTTTTGGGATCAGTTGGTGGATCCATAACTTGTTTTGTTATTGTTAGCAGAAAAAAAAAATACTTAAATAATATATAGTTTCATTTGTTTGTCCCCTGTATGCATTATGAATTTGATTTGTTTCATAGTTAAATATAAGAGATTGCCAATTGAGTTTTATTATATCAATAAATTATAAATTGTAAATTTCTATTAACAGATCAATGGAAAGATATATGAAAAGACGGATATCAATTGATGATGCATCTTCATCCGAGATTGCTTCCAATGAAATTCCTCAATCTAGCTCTATTCCATCGGTTCCGGTTGAAATGGATTTAAGTGAAACCCTTAGGATCCATCTGACAGATTTTTTTTCAGATTATCACCCTAATCAAAGAGATGAAATAAGGCGAAAATATTTGATTAGAGGACCTTGTCAACCACGTGATCATACATTTCCAACAAAAAAGATAAGAGGTAGGACAAGATGTTTCAATCCGGCTTGGTTTGATCACTGTCAATATAGTAAATGGTTGGAGTATAGTAAAAAAACAAATGAAGCCTTTTGTTTGTGTTGTTATTTATTTAAAGATGTGACAAGTAAAAGTAGCGGCGGTGCTGCTTTTGTAACAGAAGGTTTTAGCTGTTGGAATAAACCGGAAAGACTTAAAACTCATGAAGACAATTTCACTAGTTCCCATTCCATAGCACTTGAAAAATGTGAAGATTTGATGAGACAAAATCAATTTATTGCCACTACTCTTCATAAGCAAAATGATGCCATAAGGAATGAACATCGAATCCGATTAAATGTTTCCATTGATACTTCTAGATGTTTATTAAAATGTGCATTGCCTTTTCGTGGTCACGATGAGTCTGAAATGTCTCTTTTTAGAGGAAATTTTTTAGAAGTATTGAATTTGGTTCGGGATCAAAATGAGAGTGTATGGAAAGTTACGTTACAAAATGCTCCGGGGAACAATCAAATGGTGGCTCCAAGTATTCAAAAAGACATTGCTCGTTGTTTTGCACAAGAAGTACTTAAATCAATTTTTGAAGAAATTGGTGATGATGTTTTTGCTTTATTAGTTGACGAGTCCAGCGATATATCTAAAAAGGAACAAATGGCAGTGGTTTTACGATATGTTACATGTGGGATTGTTAAAGAATGGTTTATTGGTCTTGTTCATGTTAAGGATACATCTGCATTGTCTTTAAAATCTGCCATTGATTCTTTATTTTCTGAATATGGATTGAGTTTGACGAAGATCAGGGGTCAAGGGTATGATGGAGTAAGTAATATGAGTGGGAACTTTAATCATTTAAAATATTTAATCATGAGAGAAAATACGTCTGCATATTATGTTCATTGCTTTGCTCACCAACTTCAGCTAGTCATTGTGGCAGTTGCAAAAAAACATCACGATGTTGGAGTCTTTTTTGATATGCTATCTGTTCTAATGAATGTTGTGTGTGCTTCTTGTAAACGTACATATATGATGCACGAAAGTCAAAAAGATAAATTAGAAGAATCCATCGGTCGTGGTGAAATTGAAACTAGAAGTGGATTAAACCAAGAACTTTCTCTTACTAGAGCCGGAGATACACGTTGGAATTCTCATTACAAAACTCTATCATGTTTAGTTGGTTTATTTTCATCTGTTACCGATGTTCTTGAATATGTTGAAGATGAAGGCCTTAATAGTTTTAGTCAACATCAAGCAAGTGGTCTTTGAATATATCTTCGATCATTTGATTTTGTATTCCACTTGCAGTTCATGTGAAGGATACATCTGCATTGTCTTTAAAATCTACCATTGATTCTTTATTTTCTGAATATGGATTGAGTTTGACGAATATCAGGGGTCAATGGTATGATGGAGCAAGTAATATGAGTGGAAACTTTAATGGTTTAAAATCTTTAATCATGAGAGAAAATAGCATATTATGTTCATTGCTTTGCTCACCAACTTCAGCTAGTCATTGTGGCGGTTGCAAAAAAACATCACGATGTTGGAGTCTTTTTTGATATGTATATGTTCTAATGAATGTTGTGTGTGCTTCTTGTAAACGTACAAATATGATGCACGAAAGTCAAAAAGATAAATTAGAAGAATCCATAAGTCGTGGTGAAATTGAAACTAGAAGTGGATTAAACCAAGAACTTTCTCTTACTAGATCCGGAGATACACGTTGGAATTCTCATTACAAAACTCTATCACGTTTGGTTGGTTTATTTTCATCTGTTACTGATGTTCTTGAATATGTTGAAGATGAAGGCTTAATAGTTTTAGTCAACATCAAGCAAGTGGTCTTCGAATATATCTTCGATTATTTGATTTTATATTCCACTTGTAGTTGATGTTGAAAATTTTGGGGATCACAAACATATTGTCGCAAGCTCTACACAGAAAGGATCAAGATATCGTGAATGTTATAAGTTTGGTGAAATCAACCACTGCAACGTTAAAAAAGATGAGAAGTTATGGGTTTGATGCACTTATATTGGAAATCATCTCTTTTTGTGAGAAAAATGGCATTCGAATGGTGAACATGGAAGAAGTTTATGTTAACCCAAGAGCCGGAAGACAATATACCGATATCTCCAATCATCGTTATTACGAGATTTTTTTTGTTTTAAAATGGTTTTGGGTTTGCAAATTCAAGAGTTCAGTGATCGTTTTGATGAAGTAAGCTCCGAATTGCTTATTTGTATGACGGGTTTGAATCCACATGATTCATTTTGTGACTTTGATCCATCAAAGTTACGGAAGTTGATGGATTTCTATCCACATGATTTTAGCTATAAAGATAGGTTGGATATTCTAAATGAACTTTCGGTTTACCCCAATCGTATGCAACAAGATGGAAGATTTGCAACTTTGAAGAACATATCCGACCTTGCTAAAGTGATGGTGGAAACCAAGATGCATCAGTTCTTTCCTTTGATTTATCCTTTAGTGAAATTGTCATTGGTTTTGCTGGTTGCAACCGCAACGGTGGAGAGATGTTTTTCTGCGATGATGCTTGTAAAGTTGGATTTACGGAATCGAATTTCGGATGATTTTCTATATGATTGTGTCATTTGTGTGGTTGAAAGAGAAGGATTTTCAAAGATTATAAATGAAAATATTATCAAACGTTTCTTAGTTATGTGTCCTCGTAGATTTCAACTGTAAAATGACATTTAGTTGAAGCTTTTAATGTTATTCTACTTTTTCATAAAAAAATTATTATTATTTTCAATTGGTCAAACGGTCAATTATACACACACTCAACTTGGGTCTTGAGGCGTTTATCATTTTGTTTTTTAAATTACCATGCAATGAACTGAATAAATGTTTGCATTTCCTACTGCATGTTTGAGTGTAGTTAAATGTTGATTGCAGTGTAAATTAAGCAACACATTTTACCGACTAAATTGACAGAATGAGGGTCACAGTTATCTGCTAAATAAAAGCTCTCGACATGAACTCGTTATTTCCTAACTCACCACTTATTACCATCTGTTGATTGCATATTGAAACGTCTGTAGTAGCAACGTACCATACACTTTATACAGAACTTTTACAACATATGCTTGTTTATACTTTATAGTAACTCGACAATGCCATAGGCAGGTAACATGTTATTAGATGATTCGACACTCAACCAAACAAAATCTGAGAAAACATATATAATCACGTCACTACAGGTTTCATTTTTATGCACTTTGAGCTTCTAAAAAGGCATTGAAATCCTCACGAGCCTTTCGCAAGCGAGGTGTGATGCACGTTGGCGATGTTGGTTGTGACGTGGGAGAAGATGTTGAAAAGCGAACATGGCGATCCTCCTGTGATTTTCTTTCCACTGATCCCGCTTTGGTCTTAAGAACTCCTTTCACACCACCCTTGTTGAACACAAAAGCTGAATTCATGGGCAAAGAACTATCACTTACGCTTGTTCTTATCAACTCCAATGGAAGATCAAAGTAGAGAGTAGTTGAATGCTCATCATCGCAATGGATAGCCGAGGACCTCCATGATCCACACTCAAATTTCTCAAGTGAAATCCTCTGTGAGATCATTTGTCTCGATCCTTCGGGCTCCACTCTTCTGGCTCTCACTGGCTTACCCTTACCAAATCCAGGTAAAAACAAGCAAAGAGCTCCGCATTTAAAGTCCATGTCGTTAGGTTTTTTACCCTTTTTCACGATGGTTTTTCCATTCTGACCATTGCCATTCTTTGTCGAAGACATGTGTTCTCCACTCGTATTAACTGATACCCAAGGATCGCAACCACTATATGGCACAGATGATCTATGTTCGCCACCAGATTTGCTTCGTTGAAGGCGATTGTTGGAAAGACTGGTGAGAGGAGAGCGAGATAGGGAAGTGTTATGATCCGGTGTTTGATTTCGAGTATCATCTCTGATCCTGGACGAACCACCAATGCGAGGTGAATTCGGGAGGGATCCGGAGGTGTTAAGGAACTTGTACGTGGTGGGAAACGAAGGCAATGCTTTAATGGGAGTTGACTTTGATTTTTGGGTGGTTTCTCTCATGGATCTTGGATCTATGGATACCTGCTTCTCTGCGTATGAGCTGACGTTGATGGACATCTTCATGAACCTTAAATAATCTTTATAGAACAATGGAGTTACAAGTGAAGAACGCAGGATGTGTATATATACTTGAGAGCTGGGGAGTTGATTGGATGAAGGCTTTTCAATGAGCTAAAGAGTAGTGATGCCCATGTCTTTCACTTGTAAATGAATAATAAAATAGAAGTCAAATAGATAACTTGTTCGCACGTACACAACAATTGGCATTTATTCTCTTTTAACAAGAACGTATATTATAAATAAAAGGAATTGTAAAAAGATTATGTTTATAACCTTTTTTTTTTTGAAAGTTTTTTGTATGGAAACAATTTCATCAATCCTCAAAACTACAGAACCTAAAAAGCTATCGAACTATGTACGTATGTAATATCCAATCAAAATAGTTGTGATGAAAACTGTCCATGTTTTATTTTGTTTTGTTTTTTAAAGTAAGATCTAAAAAGGTTTTAACATGTAAAAAACGTCCTTTTAAAAAGGAATCATTGTTTTTTTAGTTGATGAAAAAAAAAAAAAAAACTATTTAAGTGTAATCGATGCTAATTGACATCTTTTTACCTTATTAATAGATTGTATTCTCTTTATAATATTAATTTTAATTTGAGTAAATTACTAAAATCATCCCTGTGGTTTGATCAAAATTGCACGTTTGGTTCCTAATTTTTTTTTATGCACTCGGATCGTCCCTGTAGTTTGATTTTGTTGTGTTTTTCGTCCCTATGGTTTGGTAAAAGTTGCATGTTTGGTCCCTAACTTTATTTATGTAAGGGATGAAAAATGCAACAAAATCAAACTATAGGGACTAAAAACGCAACAAAATCAAACCACAAGGACGATCCGAGTGCAAAAAAAAAGTTAGGAACCAAATGTGCAATTTTGACCATAACACACGGACGATTTCAGTAATTTACTCTTTTAATTTAGAAACACTACTCATCACTTGTACTTACCACTCTAACAAGGTATCTCATTCGAAAACGGAATTGTCTCCACGGGTTTTAATTCCAAAAATTTCAGAACTATGGTACGATTGGATATTAAAATTATCTTTATAGTTTTTTTTGTAGGAAATTAAAATCATCATAATAAGGCTTTGACTTACGGTTATGATGGAGATGGTGGTAAGATTTTTGTGGCTGTGAGGATGTGACGTCTCCTATTTTTTACAATCAAATAAAAATTTGTTTTTATACTTTAAATATCATATTGTTTTTAATGCAGAAAAATCCCAGTTTAAATAAAACATTTTGAGATAACAAATATTGTTTCAAATCCCAAAATCATTAAGGATGACATAATCAATACCCAACATAGGTTACAACGTAAAGAAATACAGGTCCTGAATATTGTCATATGTTTGTCACTTTATTCACTCGACATTATATTTAAGTTCCAGCAGTCTTAGTATTGCTACGTGTGATGCATATAATTTGAGTGGTTCAAATTTAGGAACCTATTGAGACACTGTTAAATGTCATTTTATGCATATAATATAATAAATTTTATTAGTGTTTTACATCATAATTTATGTTTTTTCATGTTCATTAGTTTAAATAATGTCCATCAAATTTATTTGGTCAAAATTCTTGTATTGCTCATGTTTTTATGTCATTTTCAGATATTTCGAGTGAAGTGATACTTTGGAATCAACTTGGATGCATAATTGGAGCTTAATAGAGCTAAAATACCAGAAGAAGCTGGAACTTGGGTTAGATTTGCTGAAACTGAAGAGTTTGCGTTCGAAACGCGCATTTTATGATTTATATGATCGTGTTTTTCACCATGTGATTGTGCTTTTGATCGTGCTTCATCTTCAAAACTTTTCTATGCCATAAATCAAGTTTCGGGACTTCAAAGGACTTACACGATCGTGTTTTTTTCTATAAAACACGATCGTGTTTTTGAGAAAAGTGTCCTAAATAGCATTGTACTTCATGGAACGTGAAAACCGGGGATTTTCGGGACTTTTGGGCAAAAACACACAATCATGTTTTTTTAAGAAATCATGTTTTTTTGTTGTTGACTCATATACAACGAACTCCTATCTAATTAATTTAAACCCTAGGTGCTCCCAGATGACCAAAAACGATTTTTAGGTGATATTTCTCCGTTTTCCTCAATTTCTAAGGATCTGAAGGTTGTCGACCGACTCTCTTATTTAGTTTAGTAAGATTTAGTGTTTCATTTTTCTTTTCATTGTTGTAAATCAAATTTTAGCCATGGCTGTCTAAATCCTAGATTTTAGTTCTGCAAGATTAGTACTTTTTATGTAATCAGTCATTAGACTTGGTTTTTTATAGTATTATTTTAGTTATTTCAGTTTTGTACTTAATGAATGATTGATTTTGATACTTTTAGGCCGATCACCAAATTTAGGATTAAATCAATCTAGTTAATCAGTTGTTGAAATCTATAATTGTTTTAATCAACTGGTAACAAGTAACAAGTAACAGATCAGTTTCGTGTTGGGATTTGACCCTGTTATAAATTGGAATTTCATATTTTTACACTTTCAAGCTTGTGAGAAGTATTGAATATTGCTGAGAATTTTACATATATCATAATGTTGTTTTTTTTACTTGATTAAGAGATTGTTTAATTAGGTTAGTAAAAAGTTAGAATTAACTAAAGAGCTTGTTTTTGTCAATTAACTAGTTAAAAGGGAACTTACTAGAACTTCTTAGTAGTTTTCATTATCAACTTAGATAGAATAAATAACAAGGTTTGTGTTGATTGCATGATTAGGAAAGTCACAGCAGAACTGAATTCGTTTTTTATTATTAAATTTGATTTGGTTATATTCACTATTATTTTGGTTATTAAATGTACAACAAAACCCCATTTTTTTTTATTATTTTCTATTTTTGACTAGTATATGCCTCATGTAAAGAGGCATTGCCTTTTAGGTTGTGTCCATGTGGATCCAACCCTGCTTTCATGTGCTAACCTTTAGTTGACTTTTATTTGTTTAAAATGTCCACGGCAATGTTTTAACAGACACATAGGGTTTTCAATTCCATAATAATATAATGATATTAAATCATATTAATAATCTTGCAAAACAAACATTACCAAGAAATATAAATATATAATCCAAAATAGATATCTATAAGACAATATACCCATACATATCCAGCCCAATCGATTCATACAAATCATAATCAACGATCATCTAGAAGAATCACCTCACCTGATGAACCGTTTAGAGCAATGGTTTGAATATACATCTAAGGGATTCCTTGGCCGATGTAATTCATAAAGGCAACCCACGTATTAGAGTAATTGACAAATATTTTATCCTATTTCATCTATGTTTGTGGGTTATAAGTCCACACTAACAACACAATCAAAAGACAGTCTAGAATAATCAAGTGTTATCATCTTACTCTGGTAGATGGCCCATACATATACATTTGTTGTCTGATACATAACTACCCTTCTTTGGCTGTCTAGAAAGAGGAGGACTACTAAACTCTGCTTTAATCTTACAATTTACCCCAAAATGAGACTACTCACTTATTTAACTCACTTTGAGCTAAGTATCCTTTGCAAGGCTTAGTTTATAACTACACAAAGATATAATACATGAAACCAACTTCTAATACAATTTCCTGTTTATGTAATACTATCTTAATACAAGTTGTACATTTATCACATAATACAAACACTAAGCATTTAGTATATCTTTAATCTTTTAAGAAATAAATACTTTTTATTAAGATAGTGCTCATGAATGTAAATACACACTTACTATACAATTCATGTAGTATTATTAAACATACACTTAACAAATATTACAAATAATGAGCATTCAGTATCAGTATACTATAAGTGTTTAAATGATATCTAATACTTTAAAATAACTGATACTTTTTATCAGCATCATGCTCATGAAAGTAACTATGCACTTAATTAATTAAAGGTGGAAGACCTTGGGGGTAGGTTAGCCCTCCTTCTAACACTGGTTTTCCCTTTTAAACGACATGGTTTTCTATTGAAAATTTGGAAATTCTGCGAGTAGAACTTCGACATTGAATATTTCTTTTGGCGGTCTTTCTAACATTGAAATTCCTCGCTAAGAAATCCTGAAAACTCAAAAAAGTCTGATCCCAAAGGTGTGGGAAAAGTTGAAAAAGAAAGATGTGAAGAAAGATGAAGAAAATAAGCCATATATATAGACTTTTGAAAAGCGTGTCGTGCCTTCGGCCATGTATCGTATTCTCGTGGTATCATTCATCGCCGGTTAGGTGGGAGAGTTGGAGTTTGTCGATGCCATGTGTCATATTTCCAAATGCTACAACTTTTATTTAGATCTCGATAGCAAATTCACATTCTATTTTCACTATATAATTTATAAAGCTTATCTAGTGAAAGCTCTTGCAAAATTGATAATTTCTTCATATGTGTATCATTCTCGACGTTCTTTATATCTAGAGTTTTGCATTTACATAATTGTCGTTTACAAACATTGGCTAATAAGTAAAATATTTTCTTTTCGTATTTTATAAAAAATACTGGAGATATGTGTAGTACCGCAGATCTTCGATTAATCATAACTTATTCATATGAGGTCAGATTTTGGCAATCTTTAGACTCACAGGTTCGCAATCAAGCTTACTACAACATTCAAATAAATTATTTATTGTAAATAATCTTTTAACTTATAAATGTTATTTAACATGAATTGTTAAGTTTATAAAAAGATTTTATATAAACATTATATAACCGTAATATTTATCCATATAACATGTACACTATATATATATATATATATATATATATATATATATATATATATATATATATAGAGAGAGAGAGAGAGAGAGAGAGAGAAAGATATATTCATGTATTCTAACTAACTATTGTGTGGATATAAGGATAATTGTGGACTAATAAATTCAACAACCTGAATAAGGATATATTAGTAATGTTCTTTTATACACCTGAATTAAGTTCCAATATATATGGAAAATCCCTTATACCATTAGATCTGTTTTATT